AAAAAAAATTGAAATACAAAATCAATGATTATTTTGGAGCCTCTGCCTCTATTAGCACTTTGGCTTTCATGCTGCTAGGAGATCGTCTTTACGCAATTAGTATACCCGCATGTTGACATTTAATTATAATAGAACCATCCTTCATGATTACTTGAATATTATGTTGTACTTTTATCAAACGTGACAATTTCTAACAAAATTAAAAAATATTTCTTATTTTATAAATTTTATAAAGAAGACACAATAGACTAATAGCCATTTTATAAATTTTATAAAGAAGACACAATAGACTAATAGCCATTTTATAAATTTTATAAAGAAGACACAATAGACTAATAGCCAAGCCTTTTTTATGAAGCAATTTTTCTGGAACGAATAAAAATTAAAAAAAAACGTAACAAAAGCATCGATATTCACGAGTATAAAAAATCAATTAACTGCATCAAAAGCAAGTGCAAGTAACTTCGGTAATATAAATGTATAATATTGACACACGTTTTTGATAAGTTTTTTAATTGTTTATGATAATAATAAAACTTCGGCATTAAACTTATATATTTTCAACCTAATGATATGCTAAATTATAAACCAATTCAAGCAAAAATAGTTTTTGGATAATAATTTTCTCTCGTTTAATGCAGTTATGTAACCATGGAGTAACAATAAAAGACCCATAGGGTAACAATAAAACGAATGGGGTGCAATAAAACCCATAAATCAAAAACCGTAGTTTAACCATGGGACCTTAAAAAATTCGATTGATTTTTAATGAAATTCCATCGTTACGCATTCATCATTTTTTTTGTAATCAATTTGTTTGATTGGTTTAAACAGATTGTTACCCAACACAACCTTCAAATTAATACATGAAGTAAGTTGAGATTGTTGGAGGCGGTAGTTTTGTAAAGCTTTTTTGAATATATGAAATTTGAACATATCCTACAGAAGAAAAAAAGAAAGTATAAGTCTTTTTAACATAAAAAGGCATTTTTTAAGCATTTTTTTTTATACATTCTTTTGATGAAAGTTTTAATTGCATACAAGCAGTGGTGTTTATACATTAGGCAGTGGATAATTGTTTACGGTCTTGTAAATATTATACTAAGGCTCAGCTAGCTCAACATATCTTTATCCTTGGTGGGGAAAACTTAATTACTGTTTTGAAAACTTAATTTTTCAAACAAATCAAGTCAGAGAAATAAGGAACTTAAGAAAGAAAGGGAGGTGCGGGGGGGGGGGGGGGGGAAAGATGATTAAATTTAATGTACTTATTATTAGACAATTTTTCGCGTTCATTTGAAGAAATGATTTACAAAACAGTTTTAATTTGCTCCCCGCAGCAAATTAAAACTGTTTTGTAAATCTCCTTCTGCGAGGTTTTTCTGATAAAGCTCAAACGTTTTTGTTATGTTGAAAATAATGGAATTGCATTTTGCTCTGTAAAACTAACAAACTGTTTCAACATTTAATATTCGTAGTCAGGTTAACTTGTTTTTGTTTAAAAGCTACCAATTCGCAAAACAAACATAGGATCTAAAGGCCACTGAAGCATGAAGAAGTTAATGAAAGCTAATGTAGATATTTCCTAAACATTATTTGTTCCATAGAAAAATATTGTCTCGGAAATCCTTCTGTAATAGAAAAATTTATTAAAACCTCCTAATTTCTTTATTGCTGCATTTAAAATGTTTAATGCAATCAGACAAAGAGAATTTGAATGATCTCTAATCCTATAAAAAATATAAACAAACAGATATATAAGCATTAAATTACTCAGAACTTTTTCTTAACCTCCTAAAAATAAATCCTGAATGTTTTGGGTTTAGGAGCAAACAACCTTCATAATTAGTTCATGGTAATTTAATTAGTCTACATATATATATATATATATATATATATATATATATATATATATATATATATATATATATATATATATATATATATATATATATATATATATATATATATATATATATATATATATATATATATATATATATATATAAAGGTATAGCCAAAAAGATCTGATCATACTTAGTTATTATAGATAATTACTTATAAGTGCAAAATATAAGTGGCAAAACACTAAACAATAATATATATATAAGAGATGCATATATATATATATATATGCATCTCTTCCTCACTGAGAACATCTTTACTTCTCTTCTTTATTAGTGAGTAGAGATGCATATATATATATATATATATATATATATATATATATATATATATATATATATATATATATATATATATATATATATATATATATATATATATATCTTTCTAAGCATGTAGTACCGTATTGGTCAAGTCTTATATTTTACACTCCTTTTGATTTTTTTTTTTTTTTTTATGTGTGTGTGTGTAATTTATTTCGCCGTTAAAGAATGTTTACATTGAATATACATATATCGAAATTAATGATTTGAGCAAGAAGAAAACACAGTTTGCCTTATCGGCGAGCCCCATATACAATACATATTCTGTAGGCTCCAAACACTATTCTGCGTGCGTGTTTTTGTTTATTTTAGATTTTCTTCTGTTTTGTATAGCCAGTACTAGCCCACACAATATTACAGTAAGACAAATAACTGTGAATAAAGGCAAAATACAATTTTTTCAGGGATGGTATATTTATAAAAGGTTTAGCCTTAAACATTATTGCGATATTTTTTGAGAGTGTTGTTTTAATACTATTTATATGTGAACACCACATGAATTTTCATCCAGTTTTACTCCTAAAAGGTTTACGTATGTTTCCCTTTTAATATTAGTATTATAAATTATAAGATTTGATATTTTTAGATGTTTTCTGATTTATTTACCTTATGGAAAAGTATATATTTTGTTTTATCCACATTTAATGAAAATTTGTTATTTACGAACATTTCATTAACTTTACATAACTATTCATTAACTATTTTACAGAGTGTTTTATTATCTCTGTGAGAACAAAAAAGATTGGAATCATCAGCAAACAAAATTAGGTCTAAAAGATTTGTTGCTAAGTATAAGTCATTTATGTACAATAGAAATAAAAGTGGTCCTAAAATAGATCCCTAAGGAACCCCACAAGTTGTGGAATATGAAACTGTATTATTTTGATTATAATATAAAAATTGCTTTCGTTTTGTCAGATACCCTTGGAATCAAAGTAAGTGTTTAATTTTACTCCGAAGTTTTCAAGTTTTTTATTAGTATATTGTAGTTTACAGTATCAAAAGCTTTTGACAGATCAATGAATACACCTAATGTAAAACAGTCATTATCAAAGGCGTTAGATATTCGATTAGAAAGTTCAACTATCGCATGTTCAATAGAATTTATATATATATATATATATATATATATATATATATATATATATATTATATATATATATATATATATATATATATATACATATATACATTTATATATATATATATATATATATATATATATATATATATATATATATATATATATATATATATATATATATATATATATATATATATATATATATATATATATATATATATATATATATATACTACAAAACAACTAAATAATCCCAAATTCATCACAGTCAATTGCAAATTCAATATAATGTTTAAATAAAATTGAAAACAAAACTTTACTTATTACTAATAAGTCAAGTTTTATTTACAATTTTATTTAGATATTATTGATAGCGTTGAATTTTTTTAAAGTTCATACTATTTAGTGTTACGTTTTTATAGTATATAAAAGAAACATTAAACAATATGAATTATATTTACTAATAAGTTATTAGTAAATTATGTTTTATTTATTTACAATGCTATAAAATACTTTTCTTATGAATTGAATTTTCTGTAATTCATATGGTTTTGTATTTCGTTTATATACTATAAAAACTTAACACTAAATAGTATGAACTTTAAAAAATTCAATACATAAGAAAGTATTTTTATACCATATAAACCTTATATAGTACCAATCTTTAATAAATATCTACATCTTTTTATAACAGCATCCTTAATCAGCAACTAAATTACAAAAAAGTTTTGTGAATGCACTATTTTAAAAACATACAGCACTTTAGTTCCAGTAAACAAATATAAATATATTAAAATCTCTAACTTTTAAATTAAAAAACATGTATAACTTCTCTTCGTTAAAAAGAACTAAAGTTAACTAAAATATACGGTTAAAGTCCGTAATTTAAGGTTACGGAACCTCTCTGTATCATAAATACGGTCAAAATCCTATAAAAAGATGTGATTATTTCAAAAGTCTTAAAAGTATAGGTAAAAGACCGTAATTTATTAAAAACGGATTTTTTTCCGAAACAAAACAACGGAAAATGTCTGATAAATACTACGGAGTTTTTTTACAGTGTAGTGTAGATATAGGTCTGTAGTTTAGATATAGTCATCTATATTTGTTTGATAAATTTTTTGGAGTGAGCACTTTTGGCTTTGAAACCTCTTTATATTAAAAAAGCTAAACACATTCCAAGAATCATTTGTATGTAAACTTATTATTGCACAAATGTAAAGGCTTTAAATGGTTTTTTTATGAATTTGCGAGTCTCCAGGTTTTAGATTGTTGTTTAGTTAATGTTATATTCAATTGAAAATGACATTTGTCTCACACTGACAGTTTTTAAATAAAAATATAAATTTTATTAACCAAAACAAGTGCTTATTTATTGTATTATTTTTTTTTTTTTGTTAAAATATTCCAAAAGTATTTTTGATAAACGAGAAATTCGTCTAAGAAATTTATTTTGTGTTGCAACACTTTAGTTATTATTTTGCATATAAATTTGATACAAAATAATTACTTGCGATATTGTGCAAGACATTATTCCCAGCTGGCACAGACTTTTGTGGGATGTCTATATGTCGCCTTATGGACATCCGTAAAACGTCTTTAAGGATTCCAGCGGACGTTCTGTGTATGCTAGGTTAAATAATATTGTTGTGGGGTTTAATTATCATTATTATTTTTTTTAGAGGTAATCTTTAACTTACTGGGAACAGAAAAAAGTAAGTAGTTTAGAAGTTATAAAAAAATAGATCAGATCATTTGGAACATCTTGTATTAACGTCAGCAGCTAAAAGTGGAATTTCGAAGTACAACTATAAAGTAGGTTTTATTTTCTGTAAATGAAACTAAAGAACACGATTTTTACTTCCGAAAAGTGATAAATTATTCGTCTCTACTATTTTTCCATAATCTAAATTTTTATTTATCTTTTTGAGATTAGCACGAATGTAATTTTTCTTTTTTTGGAGAACTAATATCAATTAACTCACTTTATACTTTATAGTATATGATTTTGATTTAAATTTTTCAAATCGTTAGAAAGTAAAGATAATTTTTTATTTTCTTATATCAAAATAAAATAGTTTGACAAAATCAAATGAGCATATAAAATTTATTTGTAATTGTGTATATATGAATTAAAAGATTACTGCCCCATCCCAAAACCCTTGGGTTTTGGGATGGGGCAGTAATCTTTTATTTCATATATACAGGCATATACAGACAAATACCCTGACTTGCAGTACTCCACTGCAAGTCAGGCTATTTGTCAGTCGATGTATGTACTGAAGACCACAGCAGCAGGCTTCTTGAGTATGACGTCACACTGCTCACCTAGCTGAGCAGTATAAGATATAATAACCGCTAAACATAATTTTGGCCGTCAATCAACTTAAACCGACTAAATTTAAACTAAAACTAAAACTCATGAGTTGCATCGGAGTTCATCTGTTTATAGATGCTGTGAATAGAGTTCTTATCACATTTGTTACGAAATAGTTTGCTTAATAGTTAAAGTATGACATATGCAAGGGCGCACGGCTCACGTTTTACTGAGAATTTAACTTTTATTATTTGGTTGATTTTTTTTCAACTATGTAAAAAATCAGCGGGATAAATAAGAGCTTTATGTTCTGGTTTTAAGTGAAAAATATTGTATGCAATTGTTACGAAGATAATATGTCTGTGTGCGTGTCTATATATATATATATATATATATATATATATATATAGACACGTCTATATATATATATATATATATATATATATATATATATATATATATATATATATATATATATATATATATATATATATATATATATATATATAAAATATATATATATATATATATATATATATATATATATATATATATATATATATAATAAATATATATATACATATATATATATATATATATATATATATATATATATATATATATATATATATATATATATATATATATATATATATATATATATATATATATATATATATATATATATATATATATATATATATATATTCACAAGTTAAAAAAGTCTTAAACATCAAAATAATAGTTTAATAAAAATTAAAGTTTTTATAAAAAAAAAAAAACTAAAATAAAAAGCTGACTTTTTGAACAATGTTTGGAATATAAACTTACTACTAATTAAATTAATTTTATCAAGAAACTAACTTTAGCAACTTAAAAATGATATAATATAAGAATTAAATGTCATGTAATGCATTATAATAATATTATTTAGCCTATAATTTTAGAAATTGTTGCATTACTAGAGAAACCGCTGAATTTATGTTTGAACTTGAATTTTTTAGATATTTAATATCTGATATTTATTAGATATCCGAATTTATTTAATATTTTGCTGTGAATTATATAGTTTGACGTTTTTTGGACACTTCAAAGGATTTTTTTTTTTTTTTTTTTCTAATATATTGCGTCATTGGACTATCTTTACAATCTGGTTAGGCAAAGTTGATAAGTATTTCAATCATATGTAGACATATGAAGGTAGTTGAAATGTGGACGCAACAGTTAAAATATTCAGTTTAATTAACTGATTTTTCAATTTATTAGTTAATTTTTAAAAATAAAAAGTTGCTGATTTCTTATCATTTTTTTTTTTTTTTTAATTTAGTATTTCTCTTTTAATTTCTTCCGGGAAATAGAACATTACTTTTAGAAAAGAGCAGTGTTCAATTTTTATTTCTCTACCTCAGTATAATTACTCTAAACCAAAGAAATAGGTTTTTAAAAAATTAACAAAAATCTCTTTCTCTACTTCTAAAAAAAATCTAGTTCTTTATTTTAATTTTTTTTTTAAAATAGACTTTGGACCGGATTACAAAACATAAAACAATGAAAAAAAAAAGAACAACAACAATTAATAAAAATTTCAAACATGAAATTAAATTATTTTAAAGTTATTATCTAAAAAACAAGTAAGGTTTATTTCTTCTTTGCTGTTTCAAGTATTTTTTGTTGTTGTTGTTGTTGTTGTTGTTGTTGTTGTTGTTGTTGTTGTTGTTGTTTTTCAAGTTGTTGCCATTAATTTATTAGTTAATTTTTTTAAACATTTTACATATTTTAAAAAAATTATCTATTAATGGCAACAAATTTTTTACAAATTTTTTGTTACTTGTGGTAACTGTAATATTTAGGATGAAATGAATTCAACTCTATTGATCTAAATAAATTTAAAAATAATAATGAAAAAAATTCATTTACTTTATGTATAAGCAGTCAAGTAAAAATTTCCATATACAAAATTACGTAAATATATAAATTTTGTATTAAAATTAATCAGAAAACGTTGATATGAAACAATTTGTTTCATATCAACGTGATATGAAACAAATTGTTTCATTGAAACAATTTGTTTTGGTTTTTATTAAAAATATATTATAAAATTTCAATGAGAATTTTCGATTCTTGATTTTCAAACTTATTTTAGTCAAAAGAGTTGATTTAATTTTATCCCAAAAATCACAGTTTTCACAAGAAATGTAAAAGAGATTTTTTTTAATTTCTTAAAAAAAGAGAGAAAAAGATCTACGAATGGCGACAACTTAAAAAACAACAACAAACAACAACAAAAAACTTTTGAAACACCAAAAACTTTATAGGTTGAGTTATATCTTTCTCAAATCTTCTGTCCGCAACCATGCAACTCCTAAAACGTTATTAGTTTAATAAACATTTTTGTAGACGTATAAAATGCGCCAGCTACAAAAAAAAAAAAAAAAAGAACAAAATATTTTCTTATTTTAAAAAGAAAATAACAATTATGAACAGCTTCATTTCTAAATAATTTACTTTGAAATTCTTTTGTTGTTTCATTTATTACGACTTCTTTAAAGATTACGTAATCCTCCCCCAATATTAAAAACTCGAATAAACACTTTAAAAGATCTATTTTTATACATTGAATAATTTTTTATTAGTCTAAAAAGGTTGCGCTAATATACTATTTTAGTTTGATAGTCGTTTGATGTTCGAAGAGAAGTAAAAAAAAAAAAAAAATGAAAATGAAAAAAAAAAAAAGCGATAACTAACCTTTTTTAAACCTATTTTCTATTTTTTGTTTTTTACTTTATTTTTATTAAATTTCGCTGTTTGTAATAGAAAGTTGCGAGGGACGAGAAGAGGTCGAAAAAAACGGGGGAAAAGATAACTTTTTCATTTTTTATTTATCATACACACATCAATAAAAAAAGATATTTGGCCTTTATAAAGAAAGCCTGATGATAGTTTCAAGCCTAAAGAACTAGGTATTATAGCTTACAAGGTAACTGACCATTAGTAATAATATATATATATATATATATATATATATATATATATATATATATATATATATATATATATATATATATATATATATATATATATATATATATATATATATATATATATATATATATATATATATATATATATATATATATATATATATATATATATATATATATATATATATATATATATATATAATATTTATTTATATATATATATATATATATAATATTTATTTTACAATTTATGGCACTACATTGTTATGTATTTTGTAATTAGATTTTGTGTATTTACATAATATATGTATAGTTTATTTACTTAGTTTTTAAATTTTGTAGTTAGAAAAGAAACTTTTTAAAAATAATCTTTAAGTATCTTTCACGGGTTTTTGTTTATGAAAAATCTATAAAAAATGAAAAGTTTCTTTTAAATCTTCATTTGGTATTTATTATCAATAAATTATTTTTGCTCAGATAAAACGTTTTAAAATACTGCCCATTTGTATTTACAAATGTATTTACAAACTTTCTATGTTTTAACATTTATATTTGTTAAATGAGTATCAAAAAATTTATATAATTTAAATCAATAGTTGAAGATAATAATTTACATATAAATTAAATATACAATTATAATATATAGAATATGGTTATAATATATAATAGATAAACAATTAAACTTTCCTAGTAAAATCTCAAAACTTAGAAAAAAGGACTAGTAATGTTTCTTTTTTATGTATAGAGTCGCAAGGTATAAAAACATTTTAACATACGTGCATGGTTTCTATAATTGAATATTGGTAACGAACTGCACTTTACAAAAAGAAACGATACTTTATGCTTTTAAAAGAAATGTTTCAAATGTTTAGAAATGTTAAAAAATTCTAAAGTAAGGTTAAATAACAATAATGAAAAATTATTTTATAATTTGTATATATTTCTTATTTTAGCTTTCATTAAAAATGTCTGATTTAAAAAGAGACATAGGAGTTTCCACCGATAATACTGAAATTGTGACAGTCGATAAAAAAAAAGCGGACTATTTTCATGAAAACCTTACAAAAATGGTGTCAGGCAATCGCCAACTCGGAGATATTGTTTCTTCAGACCGCATGCTTGGCTACACAGATTCAATAATGGCAACGTGTGCAACATTTCTAGTCATTCCGATAAAAAAGATACACACTACAAACGCTAACCAAACACTTGCCTTATCAAGTTTTATTGATGATATGCAGGCGGAGTTTATTATGTTTTTTTTGGGATTTGCTGTAGTACTAACCATTTGGGAAAACATCAACGTAAGGACAATGGTGGTAAAACGTGTAGATGATTATGTTTTGACTTTTGTTATATTGGAAATGTTAGCAACCACTGTTCTCCCATTTTCTTTGGCTCTTCAAGGCAATTATCCATCCGAAAAAGTATCAATAATTTTAACATGTTGCGTTTTAGGATTTATTCAAATATTAGACATACTGCTCATATGTTATGCAATTGAAACACCGAGAATCCTACATATAGAAATACAGACGTGGTCAAAAACAGAACTTCGTAGGTTTCGAAACATAGTTCTCATCAGACCTTTGTTAAGTCTAGTTTTAGTTGTTATTGGAGGTGTCCTTTGTCTAGTTCATTACGCGGTCTCTTGGGGATTTATCGCTATTTTAACTTTGATGCCAACTATTCGTAATTTATTTTTGTATGTTCGTCGACGAATGAAAACTTCTAAAAAAATGGAAAAATATGAGTTTTATTTCTTTTTTTCAAAAGGAAACATACCGAACGAGCGCATTGAGGTGATGAGCGATGCAGCAGTCGCAGTCATAGCATGCCTTCTTATTCTAGATATAACTACTGATGAGTTTCCACTTTCTAATATAGTGTCTGAAAAAGGCTTAAAACATGTGCTGGAAAATATGAAGTCTGAGTTTTACACGTTTCTTGCAACATTTGCTATGGTCTCTACACTTTGGTATGTTAACCACTGCGTGTTACATTTATTTCGTACCATAAATACTGTAGCGCTGTATTTACAGAAATTCTTTCTTGCTTTTTCGTGCTTATGCCCTTTAGCCGGAAATATGATTTTAAAATACGGAGCTAAAGGTAACGCAAGTTCAATAACTAGTATTCGTTATGCTGGATTAATAGTTTTTTGCGCTAGCATGGCAAATTTTTTTCTATTTTTCTACGGGTTTTTAACTCAAGAAAAATATTGGTTTGAATGGGCAAAATGTGATCGTAGCTTTAAAGCTATGCCTCGGCAATGTTTGTATATTGTTTTCAAGACATTAAACGTACCTTTTTGGTCTTTACTGTGTACATTAGGAAGCTTAGGCTCCCCTAAATTTTCTTTTTTTGTTTTGTGTACGTGTTTTATTGCATCTCCGTTAACATTTTTTTTTGCTAAACTAGCATTTATGAATCATATCGGTAAAAATAATCAATCGTGTGATACTAACATAAATGTATATTTAAATAGTCACATGTGCAATATTAATAAAAATGAAGAAAACAAACAAAATATTACTAAAAGATTTGAAGAAAGAGAAATTGGAGATATAATTTACGATAAATGTATTCAGAGCAATGTAAATAATAATTTATTGTTGAAAGATTTGTACGTTGTTCAAAATAATGCCGCGTTGATCTCCTACAAGACGAACGTTAACTGTTACTTGTAGCACTTTAATCTCATTTGAAATGAATAGTAAAAGTGTCTGTATTATTTTCAATGTACGGTTCCTCGCAGCAGCAATCTCTAATGGGAAACTAGGTTAATAATACATGAATAAACAATAAAAGCTGCACAGATAATAAATTAACCATATTCACACAGAGAAAAAAAAAATGTAATCGGAAGATGTGGTGTATTTAATGCTTCATTGAGTTTTGTTTTTATTGAGATAATTTTACATACATCGTATTTGCTAGCAATTGTAAAGTACAATATGATTACACAGACTCTATGGTGATAGAGATTTAATTGATACTCACAAATGTAGTCTAAACATGAAATAAAAAGTAAAAAATGCCGTTTATTTATACACAAAACAAATTTTTGGCTTAGGACATTAAATGATACAGAGAAATCATACTACTTTAAAATAAATAATCAATTAGTTAAAAAACTTTCAAGTGCATGGTTTTCCTTTAAATTAAAACTTTTAAAGTTTATAGGCAACTTGGTATTACTATATGAAAACTATTAGAATCATCTATAATACTGTATGCAACTATGTTATTTATGCAATGTTACCAATCAACGGTTATTTTTATATTCTAACTTAGCCATGCTTTTTTAGTAAAAATTTTGTCAATATTTATCACGAATTTAAAATGAAAATGTTTGGTACCTTTTTTGTTTAGGGAATGCGCATTTAATTTGAATTATAATAAAATAAATTTTAAACTTTTTATGTTAAAAAATTTATGTTTGATACAATTTTTTTTTTTTTTTTTGGTGAAAAGGTTGCTACGTTACATTTTTCTTTAAGCATTTTAATTGAAATCATATTTTATTGTCTCAAATTTTTTTTGTTTTTTTATAATTTTAAATTATCATTTATAATTTTTGGTCTTTCATGTATTAAACATATTTTAAAATAGTATTTCCAAAAATTAAATTTTGTTATTTGTAGTTACGATATTATAGTGTTTGTATTAATTTATTTGTAAATAATCAAACTCGATAACGTGTGCTTTGATGTCTTGGGCTTTCTTCTTAATAGTTTTTTTTTAAATTCAACTTTGTTCCGCAAATATTGCATTTGGTCTTGTCCGAATTAATACTTGTAAAATTGATATATTTTACTCTACGTAATCGAGGTAAGGACTTTTTAAAATTACTTACTTGTCAAGTGCAACATTTCTAATAGAACTACGGTTTTTTTGATTTTTTTGATTTTTTTTTGCGGGAGGATGTTCAGGGGTGAGGTAAATGAAACCTGTAGGCTGTGCCAAAACCACACAGATATTGAAAAATCCCGTCCAATATATTTAAATGTGTACGGAGTTTTAAAATGATAATTTTTGCATACTTATTTTCTCGAAGTTGATTTCTGGTAAAAACAGAACAGATATTTTATATAAATTTTTAAATATTGGACTAAATTCGAGGTAAAATCAAGTAACTAAGTCTTCCAACTTTGTTAAATTATTCCAGAACTGGACTTTTTTTTTCAAGTCTAACACGCTTAAGGCACATAAGGCAACAAAATGCATTCATATTAAAACTTTATCATTATACTAATTTTAGATTTTTAGATATATTAGCCGTCGACTTTGAAAAATATTTGAAAATAAGCTTTAAAAATTGCTTGCATAAAAAACTATAAAAATAATATGGATAAAAGTATGCCAATCTTGATACAACGAGAGTTAAATTTTAGAATGAATTGATAGATTTGGATCTCTCTCTTTTTTACTTAACTGATCCTTGCTCGTTACTTATGTAAGGCACTCTCTTTAAGTTTTCTAATTTCTACCCCTACCTACTCTGACGCTGTTACCTCATAACAAGCTAATACCCAATTCATCTGCATCCTCGTTTCTCAACATACCCAAATCATCTTTATCCTCTTTCACGGACCTTGTCCGATAAACTCGCTATTCATAATCTGTGTTTAAATTTATAGTTTTTTTTTGTCTTTTTAGAACCACATCACACATCCATCTAATCTCGGTATTAAATCTCGACATAAAGCCATACAAATAAAAGAGATTTGCAGGAATTGTTGCAGCTCTTGGAACTCTTTTTGGAACAGCATTTAACTTGGAAATAAAATGAATCATAGCTATATTTTGCATGTTTCTAGTTAAATGTCTCATTTTGTTCGTTTAGCAAGATTTTGAAAGTTGTCCCTTAAAAAATGCACGCGCACTATCAATTTAAAACTTTTTAGCGTCATTTTTTTTAGATGATCTAACTTCGTGTTTACATATATTGGTAAATTATATTGCTGTGGATTATATGGTTTTTTATATTTAATGCAATGTATTTTAAAATGTAAGTAAACAAAAATTTATCTTATAAGTTGCTGCAAGCATGGAATTGCAGTGATATATATCACTGCAATATCACGTTGATAAACATCAGTGATATATATATCACTACAATTTCACGTTATATAACAAAATAGTCAAAGGTTTTTCGAAATTATAAAGTTTTGCTTACTTAGTCAATGATAAATCATAAGTTTTGCTTACTAAGTCGATGATAAATCAAAGGTTTTGCTCATTTAGTCAATGATAAATCAAAAGTTTTGCTTACTAAGTCAATGATAAATCATAAGTTTTACTTACTTCATCAATGGTAAATCATACGTTTTGCTTACTTAGTCAATGATAAATGGTTTTAAAATAGAAGCCATAATAGTTAAAGTTTTTGTACAATCGAGGGAAACTTTATTCCATTTATAAGTTTTAAAAAACTTTTTAAATTATCACTGAAAAGATAAAAATATCTTTAAATTGATTTCTGTTTATTTTACTAAGCGTGTTTTCTTTAAAAAGCGAGCTGTTCCGATTAAGGAATCAAAGTATTCTAATTTAAAAAATTGGTTGCTTTGATTGGAACAAAATAGTGCTTTGACGCAAACAAATTTCTTTTAAACAACAGTGCAATTAAATAAGTTAAATTATGGTTACAAATATGGTAGGGTGTCTGTATCTGTTCATCAAATCATAAATGTTTTTATAGTAACAGTATTTGATAAATAGTAAACAATTGCATAAATTTATGATATTTTTATTTATTATTTATTTATTTATTATTTATTTATTTTGCCGTTGATAAATATTACAAAAAAGAAATTACAATAAAAGAAAATCCTGGCCGGAGCAAGAAGAAGACAGGTTGTTTTATCACCGACCGTCGTCACACAAAAATTTACATGCACAATAAATGATAAAAGACAAAAAGACAGTATTAATACAAAAACAAAAACAAATCAAAAACTTCAACAATAAAATAATTTGTTGCTAACACAAAAAAAAAATGCGTCGTTTAATTAAAAAAAAAAAAAAGCAATATATGTAAACATAAGTATTTGGGCTGATTATTTAATATCATCAAAAATATGAACGAAAAAGACAATTTTATTTTCGTTATCTTTTATACTAATGGTTTGAAACCATTTTAATAAAAGCTAAAGAAAGTGTTAAAGATTTAATTTACTTTTGAAGTGATTTAGTTAAAACCTTTCAAAAAAGGTATTTGAAATCTGATATATTGAATTCCATGTTCAGTAAATGCTGATATATCTCAGCTAGCACACATATATTGAACCAACGCATGCAAAACCATTGATCTAAACCCAAAATTGATCCAATGTGTATATTTCAACGTTTATTCAATATATGCAACCTAATACTGCTAGTGCAAAATTGTGTTAAATCAAATATTTTGTATATCTTGAAATATTAAACCGCAATCAAAACAAACATGATTAATGTCTATATATCAATAAAATTGCGCCCTTATAGCGCTTAACATATAACATTATACTCCTTAGCTCCACCCTCACTGGCCTACAAAAGCTTATTAATATATGTAATATATTAAATAAAATATAAAAATATAAAAAACTGCATAAAATTGAATGCTGACAAAACCGAGTTCCTGCTCACCGGAAAAAAGCAAATTAAAAACTGCACAATAACTCTCAACCACCAACAAATAAAACTTCATGATAAACTTAGTCATCTAGGCTTTACATGGGATACAAAAAGTTCCCCTTTTGCCTCACTTAATAAATCAAACATTGATCACCGAATATCTAATTTCCGGACGGTAGTCCAAACCTCAATTCAATCAGGAATCCATTTTGCTCACCCAAACTCCATTGTTCAGTTATATAAAACTTTAGCTGTTCCAACACTAACGTATGGTCTTGAGCTGTGTGAACATAAAAAAATGTTAATGCAAAAGCTTGATATAGTTGGAAGAAATGCACTTAAGTAACTCCTCGATATTTCAAAACATAGCAAAAATTATATTTATACCTTATTTTTTATTGAAGATATATCAATTATTATACAACAAAACAAGCTAAACTTATTTATTCGTTTGATGAACAATAAATTGACATATGATATTATAAGGTCGCAACTGAAAGACTGAGTATTTTTCAAAAGAAAAAAATTCATCTTGCTACACCCAAGCAAAGTTTTTCAAAATTTGTAACTTTTTACAAGATTAAAATTTTCTGGAGATCTAAGATACATAAAAACAATTATACGAACTATTTGTTAGCTTACTATGCCTAGAGCATGCTTGAAAAAAATTGGCATCCTAGCTTTATGGGATCACTTTGCTACAACTTGATTTCGGAAACCATGATAGTATGGACGGGGCGGGCAAATTTTTAAAAATTTTTTTTGATAAAAAATAATAAAACCTACGTCGTAAAACCGCAGTTCAATAAGTCAAGATTTTATAACAAGGTGTTGAAGCAGTTATATAGATCTGAAGAGTTTTGTACAACCTCCTTATAGTTCGCAAAAATGTAAAATACATATTGATGTCTCTTTACCCAAATAGGGAGGAGTATGCATGGATAATTCTTTTCCGTCCTCCCCTCCTCCTCACCCCATAGAATATTTTTTCATTCTATTCTGTAAAATAAATAATAATGTTGAAAAAAACAATAACTTAAAATATAGATTTAGGTTTATGCATTATTGAAGGCCTCGTTTTCAGCCTCTATAGTCTCAACCACATCATCTTCATCAATAATATCCAAGCTACTGTCAAAATCACTTGTACTAAATAGTAATAACTCATTTCCTCAAGACGTTCATATTCGTATGCAAGGCTTAGCTTCTCAGCAGATGTTAGCTGCTCGGCTGCCTCTTTATATGCTGCTTTAGTACGTGAAATTGTTTTACCGAGTTTCTCAAATACTCGGTGTATTCGAGAAACTCGGTCTTTTGTGTAATAAAACCGGAATTGTTCTTTCTCTCAAAATCATACTTGTTTGTTCGAGGATACAGTACTAGCTTTCTAGCCGTTTCTTTCTTTGTAATGTCAGACACAGGCTGATTTGAATTGACTAGGGCAAAAATAATAGTAGTGGGATCTAATTACCAGCTGTGTTTTCCCCACCTTTTTAAAACTAAAGCTGCAGCTACAGTATTGGACAAAACATTTGCAACCAACATCAAACAATGCTAAAAAGTGTTCCTAATTTTACATGTCTTAAAATTGAAACGAAATATACTACCACAGCAAACAGTTCAAGAGTGTGGAGTCATAGCATGCCATGATATGAGCAATCAGCTGACAGGTGACAGCACACAGGCGGAATTTCGTTGACAAGTGCAATTTTGCAGCGGACAAAATAAATGGAACTTTTTTGGTTTATTTCATTTTCTTAAGTCTGGTCCGTTTCAAAGTCACGGATGTTTTT